CTACTTCTATTCTATTCCAATTTCTATTCCATTTATATTTCTATTTCAATTCCATTTCTATTTCTATTCTACTTCATTCTTGTTCTGTTCTCTTCTGTTCCCTTCCAATTCTTATTCCTATTCTATTCACCATCCCATTGGCACATGCAGTGAAAGGAACTCCTGAGACCTTATTTTACCCAGAGTATAACTTTACTGATCAATCCATATAGACATACACTGTAGTAGAAAGCAAAGCCAGTTCTGCTTTTTGGCATGAAAAGCTTCATATTTAAAATCCACCCTTTCCCCTCCGCTGGGCCACCCACTGTCCAGGATCCACCAATCTAATACAATCTCTTTGTTTTGGGAAAGGCTCTCATCGTTCGACCTTGAAGTGTCGAGATTCTCCCAGGCCACAGACGGTACACATACATTCCTTAGTCCCCTCCTAGCCACCCATACAGTCCAGTCATTCCTCTTCCCCCTCCTGGTTTGTTTTCTGGCTGCGAACTACAGTGCATAGCACAGTGGTGGCTAACATTTTTGGGCTCCTGTGCCAAAAATGGTGTGCACACGCTCATATGCCACCACCCAGAAGGCAATGCACGTGCCACACCCCACACCCTACGTATGCGCGCACAATCCTCCCCACGCCCCCTTACCTGCACTGTGCCTCACAGCTGATTTTTGGCCTCCCAGAAGCTTGAAAAAAGTCTCTGAAGCTTTTCAGGATGGATAATAGGCCCGTTTCGTCACTTCCGGTATTACAGGAAGTGACCAAAGGGGCCTATTATTCATCCTGCAGAGGCTTTTTTCAAGCCTCTGGGAGGCCGAAAAAGGCCTCAAACCAGCCAAAATATCAGCTGTGAGGCGCGTGCATGTGCAGTGAGGTAAGTTTGCCTGTGGCTCACATGCCGGCACAAATGGCTCTGCGTGCCACAGGTTCGCCATCACGGGCATTGCAAGTCCGGCCTTGATAATAACAAACGCCAGACAGAAGAGAGATCCTAACCAGGAGTTGTAACAGTCCTTGATTTACGACAGCTCGTTTAGGGACCATTCAAAGTTACGATGGACCTCAAATAAAAGGTACTACTTACGACCCAGGAATCAAAACCCCAGAACTACGCCTTTCCGCGCCCGTTTGGTAAAAGATGCCAACTGACCTTATAAAGCCGATCTTTCTTGCAGAGTTCCACGCTCTGTTTCCATCGGTTATTGCCTTTGTACAAATAGGCGGCGATCCGCCGGAACTCAATTAATTTGTGCTTTTCAAGACGCTGAGCCAAGGTGATGTTATCGAAGTTGTCGTAGGCATCGATAGACGCTCGCAGGCCCTGTTAGGAGGCAGAAAAGGACCAGGTAGGGGTTAAGAGACCTTGCTGAAAAGACCCAGAGGCCCCGTGTCTGTTTTTAATTATTACATTGTATGCCACCCGATTCCTGATCGTTCCCCCCCAAGTAAAAATGTTTATAGGTCATCTTCGACTTAACAATTCGTTCAGTGACCATTCCAAGTTGCAACGGCACAGAAAAATGTGACTTGGGACAGTTTTTCACCCTTATGACCGGGGCGGATCCCCGCAGTCATGTGATCAAAATTCAGATGCATGGCCACCGACTCGTAGAGGCTGACTCTGCGAACCGCTTAAGAGAGAGCTGGAAAGCACTGCGAAGTGGTATATGTCTAACTCTACTGCTATTTTCTTCCCTCCCTCCCTAGGTTAGAATGCAGCATTGCAGGCTAACTGCACTGCCCACTGCCAGCAGTTCAATCCTGACCGGCTCAAGATTGACTCAGCCTTCCATCCTTCCTAGGTCAGTAAAATTAGGACCCAGATTGTTGGGGGGCAAGAAGCTGACTCTGCAAACCGCTTAGAGAAGCTCTGTGAAGCGGTATAAAAGCCCAAGTGCTACTTCTATTACCATTGACCTTTCCTTTCCTTTCCCTTCCCTTTCCTCATTTCCTTTCCTTTCCCCTTCCCTTCTCTTTCCTTTCATTCCCTCCCCTCCCTCCCATGGTTAGAATGCAGTATTGCAGCTAACTGCCTGGTGTTCGATCCTGACCGGCTCTAGATTGACTCAGCCTTCCGTCCTTCCGAGATCCGTAAAATGAGGACCCAGATTCTTGGGGGCAAACCACTTAGAGAGGGCTGTGAAGCACGATGAAGCAGTATATAAGTCTAAGGGCCATTGCTATTCCATGCAAAATGGAACTATGAATTCTACAGATGGTTATTCCAACATTTTTAGATGACTCCTGTTGACTAAGGGAGTCTTGACGCATCTATGGGTCCACCAACAAGAACAGAGGACTTATTGTTTATATTCAACCATCACGTATGCCGGAGCAAGCTGCAAGAAATTCAGGTGGTCACGAGATCCAGGCTGTATCCACACACCGTTGTTAGGTGCGCAAATCTCCTTCCAAAACTCACTTGGTAATCTTCCTCCTCGGTCAGAAGATTGTTCAGTGCCTCGTTGACCCCTTTGTTGTTGTGATTCTGGACCGAACGCAAATAAGGTTTCACGAGAGGTAGCTGATTAACCTACGGAAGAAAGCAAACATTTAAGGCAAAAAAAAAAGACATTTATTTATTTGGAAAACTCATATAGCCACCTACACACTCACAGAGATTCTAGGCGGCTTACAGAAAATAAAAACACAATGTAGATAAATAAATAAATAACAATAAAATAGTAACCCACCCAAATCTTTGATAATGTTTGATGGGTGCTCACCAAAATTCATCATCCAAGCCACTGTAAAAATGGAAGCTTGCCTTTTTCCAAACCCCCCCCCCCCCAATCTTGCAAGATAAAATGTATGGAAAACATCTGGAATTTAAACTCCACAAAACACTCGGGTCCACTTATATAAATCAAAGCAGTGTATCTCAAAATTAGAAACCTTCCTTTTGCCTTAGACCAGGGGTCCCCAAACTTGGCAACTTTTAAGACTTGTGGACTTCAACTCCCAGAATCCCTCCTCCGGTCACGTTATCTCCAGGAATTTTGGGAGTTGAAGTCCACAAGTTTGGAGACCTCTGCCTTAGCCCAAGGCTCTCCAACCGACAGGCCACGAACAAGCTGGGAAACAGGAAGCCCAGCTGGAGGTGAGCGGCAGGCGAGCTAAACCCAAAAACATTCCCACTCTCCTTTCCCCAGACTGTGGGAAAAAAAAATGGCCTTCCACAAAACCGGTCTCCGGTGCCCAAGAAGTTGCGGGATGGCTGCCTTAAGACCATTCCATCTGAACTGAGTTATTGGCCGATTCTTTGCAGAAGTGGGTCTTTTCACTCACCTTGGCGAAAAAGCTGACCGTCCTCGTGTGATCCAGCCGTGGAGATAAGACGAGGAGAAGATCGTTGATCATCAACGGTTTGTAATCCAAATAAAACTGCAGGGCTCGGTAATACAACTCCACGTTGGCAACCTGGAGGATTAAGAATCAGTGGAGAAAAAAACGGTTAAGCCTCTTAAAATGGGACGTTCCATTTAACAATCCCCCCAACGTTGAAGAACCCATTTCCCAAGACTTCAACCATGTGGAACAGGTAGGTGTGGTGTTAGCCTTCCAATGAAACTCCCCATTTCGTTCAGCATTCAGAAACAAAGTTCTTAACATTAAACTTAAAGATAAGGAAGAATCAGAGTACTACTTAACATGGGACGTATTGTATAATTGGATAAAAAATTGAAACAGAGATTAGTGTTAAATAAGGAAAGAAGATCAACAAAACACATATATACAGAGATAGGGGAAGACGTAAGAATAAACAATGTAAAAAAGTATATTTATGAACTGTACATGAATTGTCATAGGGTACAATAAGCAGTGAAATTATACTAGGAAACAGTCAATATAAATATAAATCGTAATATATAAATATAGATCGCAAGGATACAAGCGACAAAGTTACAGTCATACAGTCACAAGTGGGAGGGGAATGGGTGATAAGGAGTGATGAGATAATAAAGATAGAAATTAGAAGTATTTTATATATAAGTAAAGAATATTATTACTACTATTATATATATATATAAATTGACCACAATACACTGTTTACTAAATATTTATATGCAGAGGTGGGCAACTATGGCCCCTTTATAACTTGTGGACTTCAACTCCCAAAATTCCTGAGCTAGCATGGCTTGCTCAGGAATTCTGGGAGTTGAAGTCCATAATTCATAAAAGGGCCATAGTTGCCCACCCCTATGTTAAAGAAAAATGTATAAATGAATAATTTAAATAAAGGAATGTCCTTCTGTCACTCTTGAATGCCCTCCCGCAGCAACTTCAACTGGTCCAATTGTAAGAGGGAACAAGTCAAGCCACAGCACCATCAACATTATAGCCGTTCACCTTGGCAATGATGTCCTTGAACTGTCCTTCCTTCCAAGCATCCGTCGGATGGTTCATCATGGTAATTATTGCGTTGTCATATTCTTCGTATTTGTCGTAGAGGAAGACAAGCTCTCCCCAGAGGTGGGCATGTTCAGCTGCTCTAAGGACCTTGAGAAAAAAAACACGAGAGGGTTTGGAAGTCCAAAGAGTGAAAAGGAAGACAAGTTGGCAGGAGCTGAGGGCAAGGAGGATGGGAGTTTTAAACATTTAGTCCCTAACCGTTGGAAGAAGCAATATCAATATTTACTTGACTTCAGGAACGTCAAATACCTTTGGGATATTGACTCTGGACCAGAACAGCTCCAGATGTTCTCTCATCTTCTGGGGTTTATATT